TAAATTTTAGATGTAAAATTCTGGAAAGTTTTCATATTTTTACTTAAAACTTAACTTTTTGAAATGTTTGAAAAGGTAAGAAATGAATAGGTAAAAAGAACACTTTTCTAAAGACAGGAACAACATTTACACATCGGTAACAGAGAACACGTCAAACAAATACCCGTCTTTCAAACTCCATCCTTTGAAACTTATGCCCTTATCAAGCAAGTTAGCAGACATAAAAATTATTCAATCTAATCAAATAAAGTTATCAACTATTCAAAAGAAATGGATAAACAACTGAACCAGAATCTTTAGCAGTCCCAAAAAGAAAAAACGAATACTGGTTAACGAAGAATAAAAAACTGATCCCTAACATACTGATTATTGTAAGAAAAAAAAAAAAAACAAAAACAAAAAAAACGTAAATGAAAGAAAAAATGAAAATGAAAATAAAAAATGCAACGATAATAACAACAACACATCTGAAACTCCTTCGATGACGACAACAGCACTAACACAGTAACGTCAACAAGTAAAACTTCCAGAAAATGACAACAGGTCTTTAACGTTTTGTGCCATCAAAGTGTAAGAAAAAAGAAAATAAAAATGCGCAGAAGAATAACATAAAAACAAAATTAAAAAAAAATCTGACTATTCAGTAATCAAAATTGAAATAATTACGAAAAATAAAACATACCTGCGAGCCAAGGCCACGGACCAAATGGTGAAGCTGTTGATGGAAAACGTTGTGAAGCCGGATCATTAAGCGGAAGTTCCGTGTCATGACCCAAGCCGCTATCTGGACTTGATGAAGCGCTTGGGCATTTCATTCGTTGTTTAGCCAAAAGTTTTTGTAATAGAGTTAAGTTATCTTGAAACGATGCAGACGTTGTTGGCTGTAACAAAAAAGTAAAAAAAATTAAAAAATTGTACAGAGTCCAAAAAAAAAAAAAAAGAACAATAGCAACAACAACGTCTTGACACCATCCATCAGTGAATGGCGAGGTTGAACCACTACGTACCTGGTCAGAAAACAAAGACGTAGCTGACCAAAGGCAGGCTGGAGCCGACGTACGTCTAACGGAGCTGGCATATTGAGCTCGTGGTCTCTCAATTCTAGGACGCTTTTCTTCCGGTGACATATCATGGCCTTCTTCTTCTTCACCACCGCATTGTCCAGCATCGCTTTCAGTAGCAAACGGCGACAAATGTGCTGTGCCACTTTCTCTGGTTTCACTTTCGTCGTCGTTATGCAACATCACATCTGATTCCGTATTCAGTGGTTTTGCTTCTTTAAGCAACAGTTCTGTTTCAGGTGATAATTCACCTACACCATTGCTTAACACATCAACTTTAACTATACTATCCGTATTACCACGCTGTATCTCCAAATTCCGATACCGTTTCAACAATGTTTCGGGCCTTAATGGCTTTTCAATATC